TCCCTGGAGGGATTTAGAAGATGTGGTGCTCAGGGACATAATTTAGTGGTGGACTTGGCAGTGTTAGCTCAGTGATTGGACTTGATGATCTTAAAGGTCTTTTCAGCCTAAATGATTCCATGATTCTCTATGTCCCAGCCAGTGCCCTGCTCCCAGAAGGCCAGTGAGCCGTGAATGCAGCCGTGTAGGAGAGATGAGCAGTAGTTTTCCTCCCTAGGCCTGCAGCTGAACGAGGTGCACACAGCGTCATAGCGTCACCTGTCTCTTCCTCTGTCTTGAGATGTTGCTTTGGATTGTGATTTAGCCCCAGCTACCTCAGAAATCAGAACTCCGTAATGCAACAGATTCCCCCTTGATGTCTGTGCTGAGCCACTGGGTCGGTCAGTTAAGGGTTGGCTCGTACCCTCCTGATGCTCTGCAGCAGAGTTCCCCACACTGGCAGTGGTACATGTAAAGGGACACGTTCTTCTTCGCTGTGAACTGGCTGTTCCTTTCTTCCTCCCCGTCGTTTCCCCCTTGTTCTTGCTCTGTTGGCTAACTGGGGAAGGGTATGTGGCTCTGACCAGAATTTTTCCAACCACAATGGAAAATACTGTTAAGAATAAGCCAAAAAATTGTCCAGAAGCTTCTCCAAAAATTTGCTTGCTTTATTTTAAAGCCCTACCACAAAGTTTTCACCAGGCTGCCTCTAACTTTGAACAGTAGAATAGGCTGGCTCTGGTTCTTCTTCCCCTTCCGAGTGAAGTGGCTCCGGTTCGCTTCTCTCGAAAATTTTTCCCAGCGTGCTAATTCTTCTCTTCTCAGATTTGCTTTGACAGCAAACCCCGGATTATCAGCAAAGGGACCAAGGACACACCATCTGTCTGCTCCAACCTTTCTGCCAAACACAGTTTCCATGACAACAAGTGAGTGAACATTCTTTTTGTGCTGCTGGGAGCGATCTCTCAGAAGTCCAGCCAGTTTAACTCCAGGGCCCTGGTCTCTTTTCGTTCTTTCCTCCCTGTGGGTTCCAATCACAGGGCAGCTCAAAGCACGATGAACAGTGCTGTGTGCTTCGCCGTATGCGTTTGCTCCTGGTGCTGAGGGATTTCAGGCATGAGCAAAGCCCTTTGGAGTCAACCGAAGTTTTCCATTGGCCTTTCAGCTCGGCCTTTACATAAAGGTCAAACCAAAGATCTCGAGCTCAGGATCCTGGCTCTGACTGGCTGGTAGCGAACGTTTGGGAAAACAAGTATAAGAAACTTCTCAAGGCCACAGTAATACAACCCCTTCTGGTTCCTGGCAACCTGAAACTCGGGGACTTGCAGAGCCAGAGGAGTTGGTGTCTTCGCTGCCCATTTTGAGATGTGTCTGCTCTCTGAACTTGAGCAGGGCATCACCCATGGGTTGAGGAGGTTGAGAATACCTACCTAGGGTTGATGCAGAGCGGGAAGGCAGGGGGTTGGTTTTCCCAGTGGGAGCTTGCCTCTCCCAGGGTTGATTTCCTGTGCCCTTTGCCTGCCCAGTCAAATGTCTGAAAGGAACACGTAAGGAGGGAAGAGTGAAGATTTGGTCATTTGGTGTTGTGTATTTCTCTGGCCTGGCTTCAGGTGTCTGGTCCACATCGTGCGTTCCACCTCCCTGAAATACTCCAAGATCCGCCAGTTCCAGGAGCACTTCCAGTTCGACGTGTGCCGGCACGAGGTGCGCTATGGCTGCCTGCGCGAGGACAGCTGCCACTTCGCTCATAGTTTCATCGAGCTTAAGGTCTGGCTGCTGCAACAATATTCAGGTGAGTGGGACTGTGTGCAGGGCTGGGGAAGTGTACACCCCACCTCCCTCCAGTGCGTGCCCGGGGCCAGCGAGAGGGGAAGAGGGTGATGTGGGCGTACGGAATTGTCGTCTTCCTTAGTGCAGGACCCAGGCGGTAACAGGAGCACTTCAGAGACGAAACGTTACGGGTGTTTCTCACCATTCTTCCACGTAACTGGGGGCACCTTCTTTAATTTACTGTTCCAGTGCCTGTCACTGTAGGTCGGTGCAGTCCTCAGCCCTGCTGTGTCTCATGAGGGACAGGGATGAACAAGTAGCAGACGGCAAATGCTATCTTATTCTTCCCGTTTGGCCGCGCTTCCTTGTGGCCACGGGAAATTAACCAATGACACCACCACCACATCTGAGACAGCACGTTGCCTGTGAGCTGTAGGCCACCCCCGCTGCCCTGCGTGCTTCTGATGCCGCCGGTAGTGCTCTGGACACACTGCTATTCAAGCACCTTCCTCCTTTCCTCACCCCATGGTTGTTGGGGTTTGGTTTTTTTAAGAAGGATTTTCTTTGCTGCCTCCTCCCCTCCCTCCCTGTTCCTTCCCCTTCAGCCTGTAGAAGAAACAATTTGATTGGGTTTTTTCTTCGCTTTTTCCAAAGGGGAAGCTGAGGAGATCAAACAGGCCCTGAGTTTAGCTGCAGAGGTGGTCAGTAAGCCTTGTGCTTATTCCCATCTTTCCCAACAACGGGAGGACCATCGTCTTTTGGTGTTTGGGGTATTTTTCCTGCAGGGCTGTGTATATGCACCTTCTTTCCTTGGGAGTTTGCCTTTCTGGAGCGGTACTTACTCCCTGTCTTAAGTGTAGCCCTCACAAAGGGAATGGAGGAAAGGTAGTTGCGGCCATTCTCTCTGAAGGCTTCAGCTGTGGAGCAGAGAGTATGATTTGGGCACCGTTGGCTTGGCGAGAATAGGGCAGGGGCATCATTCCCACAGCAGCTTGCAGTAGAAACCAGTGGGCTGTTGCATTTCACAGCCATTTGAGCTTTTACAGAGCTCGTGGCTTTGTTTATGGGGATAAGGGATGGTATTAGTGGAGCAAAGGTTTCCAAGACTGAAAATGTGGACAGGCAGGGCTGTTTTCTTGCTCACTGTGGCTTTTCACAGGCATGTCTTGCTATCTTTTTCCATCAGTGGAAATCACAGAGTCTTTGTGCTCACTAATGATGTTGCAAAAGATGCTGGAATGTTGTAAGTAATTGACACGTGCGCCTTCAGGTTTTCGCATCATCTCTTCGGGTCGGTTCATGGAGCTAGTGCATTGGCAAACATGCTTTACTGTGTGGGAGGATTTTTTTTTTAATACCAGCCACCACATTTTTAGACTGTATCATTGAGTTAGTTCAGATTTCTAGGACTGGAAGAAGGCACTCACTTGCTAAGAACTTCATTTGCAATTCAGACTTGTGCCCAGAGCTGTATATGCTGCTTCTGGTGGTGCTGCACCCAGGAGCACAGTGCAGGTGTGCAGAACGGAGAAGGTGGAGGTTGGTTTCGCCCTTTCTCTGCCAGGTCTAGTGCAGCACATTCACTCTTTGCTGCGGTTTTCCCAGCTTTGTAGGTTTTGTCCCCAGAGGATGGATCAGCATTCTGTCCAGCCCTGGAATACTGGGGCACAGATGTGGGAGTTGCAGTTTTTCTAACTCTACACAGTGTCTTTTGGGTTTTATGAATAAGAAGGAGAAAATCCACAAACAGCACTGACTGGGAGTAGTCCCATTGTGCAGCAGCTGCCATTTGGGAGTTCCTGAAGGATGGCAAAGTTCCCTGAATGCTTTTCATCCTGTCCAAGCCCTGTTCCACCAGCTCTGCCTGGCAGAGCCCTGGACAGCTGAAATCACAGATGGGGAAACTGAGGTCGGGAGTGCTGTGACTTACCCAGGTTACGCACAGCCTCAGCTGAGATGAAAACTTGTGTTTGCTGGCCCTGAAGTTCTGTAACATGCTGGCTCGCAGACCAGAGATTGTGTCCGTGTGGCATGCCTGGGTAACACCTCGCTTCCATAATAAGAGCTGTAGGTCAAAGCAATTTTGCATCCTCTCTGTGGTGGGGGTGCTGCATCGGGGCCATCCTCAGCACCCCACTGTTGCAGGTAGCTGGCGGTTGTAAGACACTTGCTTCAGTTAGTTTTGGCAGCTATTTCGGGTATTTATAGCACTTAAATAACATGGCTTTTTTGTAACAGAGTCCTCAGATTGACCAGACGCTTCCTGCTCTTAGTTTTCCCTCGCTCTCCAGTGCTCTGAGAATTGTAGTGCCCATCTAGCTGGTTGGTGCTGGCAGGGGCTGTTCCCTCACCACTTGAGTTGGTCAGGAGCTAATTCCTTAAATAAAATCTGACCAACCCTTTTTCATACTGTCTGGCATTGCATTTCCAATTTCTGAAACCCTGCAGACCTTTCCTTGCAGGTTACATACCAGTAGCTGTTCCCTGGTGGGTTTTGTACTGTTGGTTTTTCCTCGCTACCTTGGATGCACTTGGTGTTTGTGCTGAATCCCAGCTTTGATTGATGGGTGCCCCCCACAATTTGAAGTGTGTAACGGGCTAATTAATCCCAGCAGGGATGAGATGATACCTCTGGGGTCTTGGAAATGGTACGTGTCTTCAGTGGGATATCTGTGATCACAGAATCATGGAACGGTTTGGGTTGGAAGGGACCTTAAAGCCCATCTAGTTCCAACCCCCCTGCCGTGGGCAGAGACACCCTCCGCTAGGGCAGTTGCCAGGATCTTCCAGGCAAGTGGCAGAACTCCGGCGTAAGGTAGGCTGACAGTAACAAAGCGTTGTCCCCGGGACTCTGGGTAGGTTCTGTTGGTACGGTGTTGGGGGAGAGCCTGATCAAAGTCAAGATTCAGTGTCTCGGCGGAGGCATCTGGGTCCTTTGCAGGCAGCCTGAGCAGAACGCCAGGTCCGAATGAGCCCGGGAGACAAAATTCTTCCTCTTTCATCTGGCTTGAGTGGGACTGCTGGAGAGAGGAACTTCCCCAGCCTGTGCTCAAACGCATTCTGTGGTGGTGTCACAACCCATGTCCTGACATGACCAGTGGGACTGGTGGGAGCTGTCAGCCACCCTGGGCTTCCTAAGCCCCAACGCAAGTCCTGCAACACATCTTCCGTTCCCTCCCTCTCTTCCGTTGGCCAACGCAGGGTAGCTCAGGCCTGTCTCCTTTTGTTCCCAGGAATGACCCACGAAGACATCGTGCAGGAATCTAAGAAGTACTGGCAGCAGATGGAGGCACATGCCAGCAAACCAGCCAACAGCATGGTAAGTGAGGCACACCTAGGCCTCGCAGCCTGGGTTTGCTCCCAACTGTTCTGCTGCTCTGCCTGGCTGATCCCAGCCTGGCTGTTGAGGAGGAGGAGAGCCGGGATCTTTCCTGTTTGCAGTGCTAGCGATGGGCTTTGCACCTTGTTTTGCAGCGCTGTATCTGCTCCACTCAGAAGTGGGGGCGAAGCTTCCAGAGCAGGGTGGGCCATGTACGGGGAATGGAGCTGCATGGGACACCTTGCTAGTGAAACTGGGGACGGTGGCCGTGCCGAGGGGGTATCAGAGGGGTCCTGCTGCCCTTTAGTGGCCAAGGGACGATGCGGCACTTTGAGGGACTCGGAAGTGACTCGTGACCCGCAGGACTGCTCTGAACCCAAGTGGGTGGTACTTGCAGGTGCTGGTGGGCCAGGCAGAGGTCTTGGTGGCACTTTGCCAGAGAAGGCTGCGAGTTTCGCCTCTCTGTGTGCCACGAGACCCATTGTGGGCGAAGGTGCCTCTGGCTGCACCCTCCAGCACTGCCGAGAGCTTTCTCTGGAGAGGTGTGTTAGAAGCAAAGGGCACCTCTTCCTTTCCTTTCTTCCAGCCTCTTGGCTATGGGTGGCACTGCCTTACCCTTTTTTTCCCCAGGGGAGTGTTCTGTAGTGTAGGAGCAGAGCCCACCAGTGAGGAGGATTCCCAGCCCAGCCCTGAGGTTGAATGAAAGCAGTTTTGCCATTAGAACAGGGAGTTTTTTGTTCTTAATTACATTCAGGAGATAAATTTGCTGAGATGAGAAACTTCATGCCTCCTAGCAAGCTTTCAGGCACAGGAGCAATTCCCTCTCCTGTGAAACGGCAGGGAAAGTGTTGAGGATCCTTTTTGTTCCCACCTGACAGCTTGCTTTCCCTTGCGGAGGCCTGAACTTGCCACCCCTTGGGCTGTGCCTTGCTGGCCGAGCAAGGGTGCTTCGCCATTGTCTGGGACCTCTCACCCAGGAGTCTTGCACCCGTGATGCTTGCAGTGGGCTTTCTGCCCACCTGCGTGCTGGTTGTGCTGCATGAGGGCAGGTGTCTCTGAGGGGACGCTCGGCAACGCATCTGTGCGACCCGTTCTGCTCTCGTGGGCTGAGATGGTGGGGGGAGAGGAATGGGAAGCAGCAGTCCAGAGTAACCAAGGTCTCTAGTTCCCAAAGCTGTCTGACATGCTTAAGGAACATGTTCTAGCCTCTCAGGAAGCTGAGGAGGGGTTTCTGCAGCCTGTGTTATATGAGGAGTGAGCCTGATGATGTGAGCGGTCCCTGCAGGCAGAGCTGGCTGTGATCTCGGCCTGGTGTGGGGACAGAGGCAGCTGCCTGCGTCTCGGCAGTGGAGGAAGCTCAGGGTGAATTTGCAGCAGTCTGTGACAGTACTTGGGTTTCCGTCAGCAGTCCCTCCCCCGTGGAGAGCGAAGGCCAGTGACTGGTTCTGTCCTGTCTGCTGTGGACCTGTATTTTCCAGAAAGCTCCGTCTTGCCATTGCCTGTGCATAATCTGGGGGTAAACACAGATGGACAGCTATGTTCCTGTAAACCTTGCAGCTTTGAATTCACCTTTTTCTGGAGGTGCTCCCGTTGGAAGAACAGGTTGCTCAGCAGGCACGGTCAGAGGATGTGCCCTGCAGCACGTGGGATGCTGAGCGAGGCTTTCATCGCTGGCTGCTGGGGCTCACGGGGGGCAGAGGGTCAGGAAGAGGAATGCCAGCGCCTGCTACCTCGAATGTCAGGGGACGGGCAGACAGCTTGGGCAGTGTTGGGGCTGACAGCCAGTGTCAAAGTCTGGCTGCGGCCCACAGATGCCTGTCAGAGCTGGATCGCTCCCTCCACCCTTCCAGGGCATTGGTTTGTGCGGGGGGGAAGCAGCGGCCTTGTTGGCGCGGTCAGAAGGAGCCTGCCAGCGGCACCGTCAGCTGTCTGTAGGACTGGCACCGTGCAGGGAGACAATCAGACGCGTGTGTTTGCAGCAGGAGGCCGTGGCTTCGGCATCAGCACGTACGCAGCTGGAGGGCTGTGCTCTGGGATGTGAGGCTGGCCAGCTGCCCAAGGCCCCAGGGGCAGAACTAACGTATCTGTTGAGAGATGTTTACTTTTGCCATTATTTTCTCCCTTCCAAGCAGGCTAACGTGCCTCAGAGTTTTCTTAGCGCTCTTCCAGCTTTCAAAGTTGGCTGCCTGGCAGAGGCAACTTCCCAGGAGTGCTGTGAAAACAGACCCCTCCTTCCCACCATCCCGTGTGATCCACGCTCACCCCAGTTCCCTGTGGGGTCAGCGGAAGCAAAGTCGCTCCCAGGGCTTTTCCTGCAGTTTTGTCACAGCTGCAAGTTGGACTCGGATAGGAGCTGGGGCTGTCCGGCTGCGGAGAGAAGAGGCAGGCGGCGTACAGGGCCCCAGCCGCTGTGACCATGCAGGTCATGAGACATAGCAAGAAGTGGAATTTGAAGGCACGCTGCTTGCGAAACACCTGCCAGGGATCTTGTACTGCCAGGGATCTTGCACTGGTCCCTGCAAATTTGGCCCTGAGGAGGCTGCTGCAGGGGTGAACTCCGTGGCTGCAGATTGCAGAGGCAGTCAGCAGGAGACTGTGGTAGGTAGCTGGGTGTCCTCCCATCACACCCCTAGGAACTGAGGAGTATTAGCCCTTGGTTTTGGGGGTTTTTGAGGGCTGTTCTGTTTCTACTCCAGTAACCAGCTGCAGAACCCCCATAAAAACTGGCCTTGGAATTAGCAGTTTAAGCCTGGAGAGGGAAGTCCCTAATAAGGGGTACTTGCACCTGAGTACAGCTGACTTGGTTAGGTGGCTGAGTAGCCTGGGCTCCTCCTACAGCCTGCAGAGGCCCGTGCCTTCTCCAGGGAGCATGTCAGTGTCGCTGAGAGGGGCTCCTGACGTCGGGTGGCGCGAGCGGCCGTGCTGGGGCTGTTGCTTTCTGCAAAGCCTGAAGTGGAGAGCTGTCCTGCCAAACACTTTATTTAGCTGGTTGCCATGGCACGTAGCTCACACTGTAGTGTCTGGCTTCCTCGGAGGGGTGGTGCCACAGCCCGAGGCACTTCGGCCTGGCTTCCTCTGCCGCAGCCTCATGTGATACTCATTTCCACGCTGCTGGTTATCAGCGGCCTGCCAGGTTTGTGTCTTGCCTTTACAAATACAGTCATGTTGCAGCAGGAACAGCAGCTTTGATTTTTCGCTCGGTTCCTAATCCCCTGGGAACATCCGTGCCCACTGGATTGACCAGCAGCTTGCATGACTCTGAGGACAGAAGGCCCAGGGCTTCTTTTGGTTAAGAATTTATGGAAAAAGCAGTGCCAGTTGGTCACCTTGGGCATACAGGTTTGGTGGGTTGGTGGCAAGCTGCAGTGTAATTGGAGACAAGTGGAGATTAAAACCACTGTTGAAAGGCCACAGGTGAGAGGGAGACACCTTACTGCCTTCTGCAATAGATATCCCGGGTCTCAACCCTGCTTACCCCGCAGCCAGCCACTTTGACATGTCCTTGGTGGTCACAGCACCGGTGAAAGCTGGCAGAGGAACGCGCCACGTGCTGGCTGCTACCAGGAAAGCTGTCCTGCCGGTGAGCAGGCCAGAACTGCCGCTGCTTTCCAAGAGATGATGGTTCTCTGGAAGGGTCCTTTTGCTGGGACATCCAGAGCAATGATGGCCTCTTGTGTTCAGCACAGCAGAGGTCAGCTCTGCCGTCAGCTTTCCGCAGTGACGGGGCCCCTTGGTACGTCAGCTCTGCTTCTCCGAGAGACCGGGTCTGGAGGATGCAGAGCAGTAGTCGATGGCCTACATGGCATTTCCTGGGAGATGCTTTGATTCTGCACTGCCTGTGCTTCCTGATTTCCCTTGGCCTAGGGATGCACATAGGATCCACACTACTGCTCACTGATTGCTGGCAGAGGCCAGCTCCTCGGGGAAATGGTTTGCCTGTCTGCTCGTTATTAGCTGCCCAGGGTTAGAAGTCAGGGCATGGCAGCTGGCATGGGATGCTCACATGGGGAGCAGCCACGGACCTGGCTTACTCCCACGTGACCTTTGTGCTTCACGGTTGGCTCCATGACCAGGATGTTCTTTGAGGTTCTTGCCTGCACCCTCACATACTCCAGTACCCTGGCCCACTGGCGTCCAGTCGGGTTTGCTTTTGGGTTTGGAAATGGAGACACCAGCCTCATGTCTCCCAGTGGTGGTACAAAATGTAAACGGCTTTCCAGGGGTTTGCTCAGAAAACATGAGGCGGCAGTGATATGGGACTGGCTTCTTTTTTTTTCCCCATCCACAATCTGTTAGTCGTAATCCTAAAAGAGCCTTCTCACGGGGACAAGTAGAAGGCCAATGAAGCTAAGTGGCTGAGAGGATATGAAATACGTGTGTTGACAGTTGTCCAGAGATCATGATTAACTGCCTGTGAGGCCTGATGCGAAGGAACTGTGCGATGGAAACCTGCCCAGAAATGGCTCAGAAGGGCATTAACAAGGGGACCCAGCCCTGACTTCAGTGTGTCAGATGCTAGACGTGACACGAGCCTCTTGGTCCAAACATGGGAGCGGTGGATCCTGCACCGTGGCACGGCACGGCTTCCTCCCGCGGGGCCTCTCTCGGCTGTGTGACCCTGCTCTCTGCCTGGGTAGCGAGGGGGATGCGGATCGCCCTCCCTGCTGGGAAGTGGGATTAAGCTCTGGGGCAGGTCTCGGAGCCTGTCTGGACGCGGAGATAGGCAGCAGGGGTTTCACAGCCAGGCCTGGTCAGTGCTTAAAGCTGCCAGGCTGGCTGTGCTTTTGGCCAGACCTCAAAGCCCAGGAAATCGTGCTGAAGCAAGCGGTGGGTTTGCTCCTGTCTGGTATCTCGACGGGCCACCAGCTAGCGCTGGCAGAGGAGAGCTGGGCTCTCTCCGATTTAATCTGGCTTGTTGCTGGCGCGCAGGGAGCCGCCAGCGTCTCCGTGGCAGTCTGGGGGGTGCGTTTTGTCTCTGTTTACCTGAGGTTGTGGTTCTCTTCCCCAGGCTTCTCCCCGGGCTCCCACGTCAAGCACCTTTGACCTCCAGATGAAATTTGTGTGTGGCCAGTGCTGGAGGAACGGGCAGCTGGTGGAGCCGGATAAAGACCTCAAGTACTGTAGTGCCAAAGCCCGCCACTGGTGAGCAATGCAACCTTCTCCTTCCCCCACACCTCCTCAAGGGCAGGAATTTTTCCTCATGCCTTCTCCAGGGCTTCATTTGGCTTCTTTGGAAGAGGCTGAGCAGCCTCTCGCTGCTCAGGGTGTTTGTCACTGTGGCAAACATTGTATCCAGCTGTTTTCCGGTTTCCAGATCCCTTCTTCATTGTTCGTATTTACTGCCAGCATGGTGCGTGAGGGCCAGACTTGCAGTGTGTGCAGTTCAGCTCCTGCAATTCCCTTTTTTCCATTTGCTGTCATTTCTTCTTAGCAAGGTCATTAAGACAGTTCCCCTCAGCACTTGTTTATACACACTGCTGTTTGAAGGTGTCTGCTATGTGACTATTTATAATCATTCAAGGTATTCTGCTTCCTTTTAAATTGGTTTCCTTGGCTTGCTGTCACTGCTGTAGTTGCTCTTCTCTGACGCGTGCCTTGTCCGCTTGCACCTCCTGGCTTCTAGGGGCCCATGAGGATGTTTGGTGGGATATCAGGTGGGAAGGCACCACTGGGTCATGCAAACCGTGGCCCCTCTCACCTGGGCAGGGTAGGATGGAAGGGTTTATAGAACTTTGCTTCCCATAACACGAGCCATGAAGGCACAGTCTGGCATCCTATTGGCAGTGTAAGACCTTTGATGAAAAAGAGACAGAAGCAGCAGTTGCTGGAGGAAGCGAGCAGGTGAGGGTTGCTTCCTGGAGCAGGAAGGATAATACTGTTCTGTGCAGCTGCCGAACAGAGCTGGGGATGCCTAGGACATCTCCCAGTGATGGCTTGCTGGTGCTGTGGGAGGATGAATATGTCCTGGCATCTGTTCACAACAGTGCTTGTAATGACTTGCATTTCTGCTGCACCTCTCAAACAGAAAATATTCCCAAATGTTTTTCATGGATCTGATTGCACAAGAATTGGCTGTGTCGAAGGGTGGAATGCAGCTGTTTAGTAATCTGTGGTGATGCCACGTGACCCTCGTGGCTTTTTGAGAAGAGATACCCCAGGAAATACGTGATAAGTACCGGGAGCAGTCCTCCTGAAACAACATTCTTGTGCCTTCTCTGTCAAGGTGTGGGTGTCTAGGAGCAGCTGGAGAGTGGCAGCTGGACTGGAGGATCAGGAGTATTTAAGGGTCTGTGAGGAACACAAAACCTTGTACTGCTCTTCGTTTTGCCTCTCTTGATGTATTCTCTCTTCTTCAGTTGGACGAAGGAGCGTCGCGTCCTGTTGGTGATGTCCAAAGCAAAGAAGAAGTGGGTGTCTGTCCGACCGCTGCCTTCCATCCGCAACTTCCCACAGCAATATGACGTAAGCCCCACGCCCAAGCACGGCCGGGTGCCCCTTCCCCTTCCCTCCCAGCACGGTGTGGCGCCGTGAGGGCTGATTCCCTGTGGACCTGGCAGGGAAGCAGGCGCGTGTTGGCTGCGGTGGGAGGCCGAGAGCAGCAACATCTCAAAATGCATCCAGCAGAAGGGCGGAGCAGTACCCCTTCCAACCACCCTGTGCACCTATGCGTGTGTTAATGCAGTCACCGTCGTGGAAAGTGGCTGGCACAGGCTTTGGCAATGAGATTTAAGTCTCCCCTTAGGTCAGGGTTTCTCAATGCGGGTGAGAGGTGAGACAGAGCGCTTGGGAGAAGCCCATCCCTGCCTTTGCGGTGGCCATGCCGCTGTAGGTTGTGAAACTTGCTGCGTGTTTCTGAAGCAAAACTGAGGACTGTGCTAAGACGACACGTGCTGTGAGGGAAGCTACGGATATCCAACCTCCAACCCCAGCCCCAAATACGGCGATTGATAATTTCTCTCTCCCTCTCCTTTCCTTTCTGCCTGAAAGGAGAAAGCTCCTCTCCCTCCTGCCCTGTGGGTCCTGCTGCCCCTCAGTCCATGGGCAGGCACAAGCCACCTGTAAGGCCTTGAGCGCTCTCCAGTTGCAGGCCAGTTGCTAGAAGCTGGGGAGGGGAACAGGGGTTTTTGGCGGCTGCCTCAGCGGGAGGTGAGGCTGGCAGGTGAGCCACAGGTCCTGCAGCACAGGCAGGTTGCCATGTGAGTGTGTGCTTGGCCTGAGCTCCCACCCAGCCCCTGCCAGAGGGGAACAGCGTTGCCTCTTCCCCCCGAATTGGAGATGGCTGGAGAACGCGTCACCTTTGGGGACCAGCGACGTGACCAGCAGGAGACACTGTTGGGTCGATCCAGCTTGCTCCCTGCTGTCTCCCCTGGGGTTACCTGCACCCCTTGGCCTGCGGAGAAGGGGACGAGAGAGGCCAGGCGCTGAGCTGAGCTGCCTGCGCGTTCATAGGGAGGTCTTTGCCTTTTCATGTCATCGGGAGCTTGAGGAAGAGAAACGCGAGTCAACAAGGCATGAAGTGTCCTGTTTGCAACCTCTCCCGTGTGCAGTTCAATTGTTTGCACCTGCTTCCCCCTCCAGCAAGGGGTGTTTGTGCAGAGGCTGAATTGTGCTCTCTGTCTTTCAACAGCTGTGTATCCACGCACAAAACGGCAGGAAATGCCAGTACGTGGGCAACTGCTCCTTCGCCCACAGCCCCGAGGAGAGAGACATGTGGACCTTCATGAAGGAAAATAAAAGTGAGTGGGGGAAACACAGGCCAGAGAGTTGGGGGAGGGGAAAGAGGGCGTTGGGGCAGCGGATGCAGGGTCTGTTAGGACATAGTCTTGACAACGGAAATGGAGCTGGACAGAGCTGGTACCGTGAGCAGAGGTGGGGTTACGGGGCAGGTCTGTCTAGTTTAGAGCTGCTCTTCTCTTGAGTGTGCGTGTGTATCCCGAGTCCCTCGCTCTGGGACTAGGGCACATTGGTCCCTGCAGTGCTCCGTTGCTGCCCTCCCTTCCTGCAGCTCCTTGAATGCACTCTCTGCTGTCCCTCCCGCGCTGTCGCAGGCCTGCCTTCATATGGAGCTGTGCCAGCGCACCAGTCCTGACGTGTAGCTGCTCCTCAGTCTTGTCTGTCTTGTATCTGCCTTGGCTTTCTTGCCCATTTCTGTGCATATCCCTTGCTGCTGGGCTGCGGCACTCCCTGCTCGTGGCATTGTATGCAAAGGGGTTGATTTGAGATCCTGAGTGAGAACATCCTTGGGTGGTGCCTTTGTGGAGGAGCTCGTCTGGAATTCATTATGCAAGCTCCCAACTTACTTTTTGGGGTGTAGCTGGGGGGTTGCCCATGTCCCAGATGGCCGGCTCTCCGGCAGCTTTCCTTATTTATTCAGATCAGCAGCAGGCTGGGGAGAAGACTCTCTGCAAGGCCCTGTTGTCCAGGTGCTCACCTATCTCCGTTGGGAGATGCTGGAAAGTGTGATGGGTTTCAGGCCTGCCCTGAGTTTGTTTGGTCTTTATGCTTGGATGGAGGGTCCTTCTCTCTGGTGGGCCAAACGCTGTGATTTGTTACAGTTCCAGTCATTTCTTGAGGCTTTAGAGCACATCAGACCAGTCTGGGTGTGTTTGCTCAAGCACGAAGGTGAATCTTCAAATGACAGCCTTGCTTCGTTTGGGGGAATTTGCATTCATTATCCCCAGTCACCTCGAGTTCCTCAATTACCCATTTAGCGAGGAGTAAATCAGTGATGCTTCACCCTTACAGCATCACGGGATGTTTGCAAACATTTATGTTTCTGTAACCTCTCGCAGGGGCCGATCTTGGAAAGGCAGATGTGCAGACAAAGCTTACAGCCAAAATTTCCTTTCCCACAAGTATCCTGAGTGGGATTTAAACCAAAAGCAGCAGGAGGCGTTGACTGCACTCCTCTGGGCAGGTTTTGAACGTGGGGCAAGCTGTCATTAGATCTTCCTCCCCTCCCCACTGCTTCCTGTGGCCAGCTTGCTTAAGGGCTCTCCTCCCTCCTGTGTGCTGGGGATGAAGCTTAGGCTTAGAGGGAAGGGACGGATCTGCATCCAGCCCCTGCCTTGCTCCCTGGCTGGAGTGAGATGTCTCCTGAGGTCAAGCAGAATCAGGCCTGATGGAGGATCACCTTGTGGGGTGAAGTCCATAGAGATCCTGGGGCGCTTTCCCTCCTTCCTGATTAGAAACATAGAATGGTTTGGGTGGGAAGGGACCTTAAAGACCATCCAGTTCCAACCCCCCTGCCATGGGCAGGGACACCTTCCGCTACACCAGGATACTTTGGGTAGCTGCTGTCGTGGCTGCCCCTTGACTCGCAGGAGACGCCTCGCTGGGCCAGGCGGCGGGGTGTGAATTCTGTTCCTCTCCGCAGGGCTCTCATCTGGGGAGGTGACATCTGGCCCCCACGAGCGCAGGCATTCAGTGTGACGGCAGGGGAGAGGGGAGGGAAGGGCTGCCCCAGCGTTCGTCCTTTCCTGCTGCATTGTGCACGGTGCAGGAGGCTGTCTGAGTGACTTCACGGGTCGCCTTTGTGCAGTACTAGATATGCAGCAGACCTATGACATGTGGCTGAAGAAACACAATCCTGGGAAGCCTGGAGAAGGGACACCGCTCACCTCGCGAGAAGGGGAGAAACAGATCCAGATGCCCACCGACTACGCCGACATCATGGTAATCAGCTGCTCTCTTGTCCTTCACCCCTCCTCCTCCTCCTAGGCGCTGATAGCCTGCCCTCTCCCGTGCTCCAGCTGTGAACGCCAGCTGTGAGCTAGCAGGGACGGCATTGCTCTGGTGCTGATGTGGGTTAAACAGACAGCGTAGGGCAGCACAGCAAGGACAGTGCAGATGAGGCGGGAGGAGATGGACCCGCCTGGGGTCAGCGAGGCTCTGCAATGGCTTTTCTGTTAATCCTCAAGTCTGTAGGAGTCTACCTGATGTTCCCTTCCGCGTGGGCTCAGCCTCACCCTGGAGTTCCTGCATGCTTCTGGGAAAGCTGGCAAAGCCATTGCTGGCCTGCCTGGAGCACAGAGGCCTGGGAAGACTTAGAGGCAGATGCGTCTCCTTAGTGCAGGGGTGGTGGCTGGTCTTAAGGGTTTGTGCTCCCAAAGGGTCCTGCATCGCCTGTGCGCCTGGGGGCCACGGAGTCAGACCCCACCAGAGCCGTCACCCGTGGCAGGGGCTCTGTGTCAGTGAGCTGAGCTGTGGGTAGACCTCTCCAAAGCCTCTCCTCTGCTCCCCTTAGCGGCAGCGCGATGCCTTGAAGATGGCAGGGCAGGGAAGTGTGGGGGGCCGTAGGCTGAGCAGAGGTTCCAGGATGCTCTGGAAGGAGAGGGGGAGAGGCAGTGCCAGCCCGGGGAAGGGCTGGTGGATGTGACTGTTAGCGCACTGACTGGCCCTTTGCCCTCTCTGCACCGGTTAGATGGGCTACCACTGCTGGCTCTGTGGGAAAAACAGCAACAGCAAGAAGCAATGGCAGCAGCACATCCAGTCAGAGAAGCACAAGGAGAAGGTCTTCACCTCAGACAGCGACTCCAGCTGCTGGAGCTACCGCTTCCCCATGGGCGAGTTCCGGCTCTGCGAAAGGTACCGTTTTCTCCTTCCTGTGCCACTGCTGCTGCATGGACGGGGCGACAGGCCCGGGGCCCCGTCACCCCTCCTTCACCACCTCCTCCTCCTCTCACGGAGTCCCTAGGGACTTCCGCTTGGAGGAGCAGTGGGATGAGCTGACAGGTTTGGGTGATAGTGGGGCTGCTGTTGGACCCAGAGGTGCTCAGCCACACTGCTGAGTGGTAAAAATATTCCTGAGAGCATGTAGGAAACGAGAGCGAGTTTCATGCCTGCCACTGTGCCTCCATAGCCAGGATGCGCTCCGCTCTCCGGCTGCTGAACGCTGTGCTTGGCCTGATGCTTGGGGGAATCCCAGGTGCTTTATTAAACGGTTTGAATGTCTCACACCCTCTGACTCGGTGCCTTCAGGAGGCTTGTGATGGTTAGAAATGCCATTTCGGTTAGAGAAGGCTGTGTCTCTCGTGGCTGCTACCTGGCATTTCCTCTCCTGTGTGGTGGTTTCTCCTCATCCCTGCCAGTCCAGTTCCAGCTCACGTCGTTTCCTTCTGTTGACTAAACCCCCTGACAGACATTGCTCCTCCTGCTCCTCCGTCTCTGTGCCCAGGCCGCACGTGGGTTTGCGGGAGAATCGCCTCACCCCTGGAGAGCTCCCAGCGTGTTTTGCTGGGCCCCGATGAAGTTCTGCAGACAGGGAGCTCAAAGCCCTGTCCTGGGCTGCCCTCCTGATTGTCCCCCTTGTGCCGGCAGGTTCCAGAAGAGCAAGGTCTGCCCCGAAGGAGAGGAGTGTCGCTATGCCCACGGCCAGGACGAGCTGACCGAGTGGCTAGACCGGAGGGAGGTGCTGAAACAGAAACTGGCCAAAGCCCGCAAGGACATGCTGCTCTGCCCCAGGGATGACGACTTCGGGAAATACAACTTCCTATTGCGGGATGGTGTATAGTAAGGGCTCGGGGGGGAGAGCCTGTCAGCTGGAGAAACAGGGGGCGGGTTTTCTGAGAGTGGCAGTAGCAGGGAGAGCGAGATTTGTGTCTCACAAAGAGAACTTTTTCTTTTCTTTCGTTTTAAGATTATGAGACGATGATTTATTAGTGGTGAATGAAATCGTGAATTTGATTCTCCTTGGCCAGCGAACGCCGTGCTCACTGAGTTTGTGATCCGTCTTCTCTCTCTCTTCTTTTCCCCAGATTCCTTCCTCTCCATCTTTCTGTTTTCACTGTCCTTCATTCGAAGGAGGGAAGCCAGTCTGTACTGGGCTGCGAATCGGAGTGTTTCTCCTTGTGTCATTCCCCTGCCCTCCAATTCGGTGTGTGGCTGCAGAGGTCCGGAGGGCACAGCTGAGAAAGGGCCAGACACCCGGTGAAGGGGTCAAGTTCACGCGCTCTTTTCTCAGCGCTGCAGAGCAAGCCCCACTTCCGCTGCCGCAGCCCACCTGCTCCCCTGGGAATTCAGATCCAGCAGAGTTAGGAATTGAGGTGCAAAGAAGGCAAACCACTAGATCTGGCTTAAAACGTCTAGGCTTACGCTCCTGCTGCCTGTATTGCCTTGAGGCATCCACTGGTACAGAGGAGGGTAGAGTAGAAAGGGTGTAGCCGAGAGCAGCAAGGTCACAAAACGGCTTGCAGCAGCAGGAACTGGGCTGTAGGTGACTGCAGACTGTTTCAGCAGACTGTACCCAGAGAGCAAAGTGGTGACTCCTCATCAGATGTCTTTCTCCGAGTGCGACAGGTATTCAGGGGGTAGTTTGGGTTTGGTCTTTTGGTGAGTGGGCCTGGCGCAAGTAAGACCGAAGCCATCTAGAAGGTGCAGTGGAGGCTGCCCCATCCCCACCCCCCGTGTCACAGGCGGCCGTATCCATCGGTAGGAAGGCTGTAACCAAAGGGAGCCTGTGTTGCTGTGTCGCCCTGTGTCCTCAAGAGAGGGAGGGAGGTAATGGGGTTCCCTTCTTGCTTGTTAAACGGCGCATGTCACCGGTTCCTTAGAGCTGCGTTTTTTTCTCACTGCCACAAGAACTGTGGAGGGGGACACCCATGTAAAAGGATACCGCCGAGCTCCAGGGGTCCAGTCCCCTCCTCCTTGGAGCGGGGACCCTGGGGGGACACAGCACAGCCAGGACACAACCGAGGGCAGGGACCGTGGGGGTGGGGCGAGTGGCGCAGCGGGACCCAGCCAGGCGCCTGCTCCTGTCCCACGTGCTGCACACCACAGTGGGGGAAGCAGCGATGGCTGCGCTCTGGGCCGGGAGGTTTGGCTTTGACCTTGGCAGCAGTGAGAGGGAGTACTGCTCTGCATGCCAGCCTTGTCCTTCCTGGGCTCATCCTGCAAGCAGTCAGCGTGTGTCCTGTCCTGAGCTTCCCTCTCCTCCTCCCTTCTGCAGTCCAGCTGCGCGCTGCGGTTTTGCAGGTGTGGGTGGCACCACCCACTCAAACACGAATCCCTCTCCCTCCCAGCCCGCATGGGTGATCGTACCAAGTCCCCCAAGACAGCAAGCTCGGAGCCCCTGGGGCCAGCAGTGCTGCATCCGTGGTAAATATGATCTGGCCATGAACTGCTTGGTGCTTTGGCACTGCTGCGTCCCCCCCTTTTCTTCCCTGCTTCCATACCCTTGGGGTTCCTAGCTTCAGGAGGGATGGGACGTGGAAGTAGAGGAGATGTGCAAATCTGTGTGGGGGCAGCTGGCACCTTTCTAAACCGACCTCAGGTAGGTGCATCAGCTCCACGGGTGCAGTTCGGGCCCAGGAGCAGAGTGCGCTGCCTGCTGCTGTGGGGTCTTCCCAGAGATTCTGGGTGCTCTGAGCTGAATGTGCCTCTGAGCTTGCTTCCCCTCCCTTCAGACATGGGTGGTGTCACTGGTTCGGTCCGAGTTTCCCTTCCTGGCTGTCAGCACCTTCAGGTCCAGCCTGGAAGGGACAGGAGTGGAACACCTGATGATGCAGTGGCAGCTGGCTGGGAGGAGGGGGCAGGGAAGCGGTGATTTCCATCTCTGCCCACGTACAGGGAGGAGGAGGAGATGAGGAAGGATCTGTAGTGCTGTGGGGAAAGAGACTGACCCTTGTGAGAGCAGATGAGGCAGTTTTTGAGTGGTCAGGTGCTGTGTTTTCTCCTCTGCCCCTCGCTGTAGCTGTCCAGATTGGACCTTCTCCTGGTGCTCCTTGTGCTCAGCTGGTCGAGTCCGTAAACAGAGAGTCGGGGAGGAGGTAGGCCTCAGCTCCTGCGTTATCTTGCTCTGCTCTTCTGGGGCAGAGATGCCAAGGAAGCGAATCTGGAGTGGGGAACATTGGGGTTTTTTTAATTACTATTACTTTTAAACCAAATCTGCATCTCTAGCGTGATTCTAGCGTTCGCTGCGCCGTGATTTCTCATACGATAACTTGTTTAGGTTGCAGGGTGGGTCGCTGCCCCCTCTCCCCGCTTCGGAGGAGACGGCAAGGGAGGCCCATGGTCACGGGGGTTGCACCCAGTATCTCTTTTTGTTTTCCCTGATATGATAACCTGGTCTGTGGTGTTGCAGTACTTTGTCACCAGACTTGTTTTGGTGTGTATATATGTGACCCCTGCCATGAAACATATATACACAGGTATTAAATATATCGCTCTATATAATATTATATGTGTGTGGTATCGAAGGAATCTTTTAAATGAGGGTAAAGGAAAAGGACTCAGGCCAGGAAACGCAGCATCTCCAGTTTAAGTGTCATAGAATCATAGAATGGTTTGGGTTGGAAGGGACCCAAACGACTTCTATTTGGGTTAGGGAAGGGGGAATCACAAAGAGGGGAGGGTTTTATATAAATAGGTGTAACCTTCGAGATGGGACAGGTTTCCCTGTTCACATGGGTGAAACCCCTTAGGATGCGCTCGCCGTCCCGTCTCGGGGAGGGAGCGTTATACTGCTAACTAGCCTGTGAAGTTTTAACGAGAAGGCTTCGCTTATAATATTTAAAGGGACGTTGTGAAAGGCAGGAAGCGTCACTCTTGGCTTCCCAGGACGGCTTTATGGAGCCAAGAGGGTTTTCTTCAGCACGTGAGGTACTTCTCAGCAGAGCGCTCATGGCTCTCCCGCAAGGAGCAGGGCGCTCACCAGACCCTGCGGTAACTCCCGCCTCTCTTCGTTCGCGTGAGCGATACAGACAGTTCGGCAGCCCAGAAGCAAATCCGAAGGTTATTGACAAAGGAAGTGATGGGTTAGTTTACTACCATCGGAAGAAAATCCTGTACCCTGCAGAATCACCGCAGACACGCGCGCTCAGGCGGAGCAGAGGCTTTGATTTACACCGACTTGTGAGGCGCCGCAGGAGTCGGTGAAAATCTTTTCCCAAATCCTTTGGTAGGGGCAGGGATTTACGTGACGCTGGTGTTGGAGTTAACCTGACCTTTACAGGGGGATGTAAAAACCCCCAAAATACCCTGCTTAGCCGGTACAAAACTGTATGTCAAAAACGGATGGGTTTTAGCAAGTGATAGGGCCAGAGAGCGAGGGGATGCTGCAGTTCTGAGCTGGGCAGTAATGACTGCGAGTCCTTTAATATGTCTTTGTATTAATATAATTTAAGAATACCACGCTTTACTATTAAAAAAGAACTTAGTATCTTTCATAAGGTCTAGTATCAGGATAATAATGTAGATGTTTTAACAACATTTTTGGTTTTGTTCTTAAATAAATAAAAGAAACCCCAAACTTGCTTCTTTTAGCCTTTGTAATAGAAAATAAAAGTGTGCACTTTAAAACCCTCTCCTGACCCAGCGTGCGCTTGCGTTTTTCAGACAGCCCGCGGAGGCTTCTCACCCGGCTTTCAGGTTTCCCTGCTGCAAGGAGGGAAGCGAAGGGAGGACTCGCTTTCGCCTTCTCCCGTCCGGGAAGCGTAATCCGCCGCCCTTCTTGCTGGGTGGAAGGTCGCCTGCGTGCGTCGGAACGGATCCAGCGGTTCCTCATCGATGCCCGGTTCTGGTCAGCTTTAGGTGTGTTGGAGATCTCGGTTATTCTTTCCCCCAAGCACCAAGAATTTACACGCTCTGCATTAACACGCCGTTGGAGGTGTTTTGAAACCTCTGACAGGCGGGTCTCATCACCTCATCCAGAGGTGGTTCCGCTGCGGAGGCTGCTCAGTTCAACCGGGTCGGCCAGCGTGCACCCTGCCGGGGAAAAGGCCCCGAGCCCTGCTCGCCCATCCCATCCGCCTGCAGCTGGGGCTGGGAAAAGTGTCTCAGCGGGCTCCCCCCGGGGAGGGCGCCATGTGCTGAAGATCCCACCTGCGGGAAGAGGTCGCCATGGGAACATTTCCTAATAAAACCGTCGAGTTTTCAAATCCACCGTGATGCAGATTAAGCTGGGGTTCCTGCCAAAGCCAAAACCGGAGACGCGGCAAAGCCAAGGGGGTCCCGCGGAGACACCCTGCTGCGTAAGCTGTTGGGGGTTGTACCCGCTGAGGCCCGAGGAGACTTGTTACGCCTCTGCCCACTGCGCCCGGGTACGGACGCGAGGACTCGAGGCCTGAACGCGAGCACGGGCAAGGGGGGGGCTCCCGAGGTGCATCTGTTGACCGCGTGCAACGGGAGAGCCATTAGTTGGATGCTCCGCCGTCGAGGCCGTGCTGGCGAGAGCGAGGGGAGCGTTTCCGCTGCAGTGGGGACCAAAACTGTCGGTTTGCGAGGAGACGACGCACGAGGAGAAAAACGACAGCGTGTTCCTTGCAGGTTTGAGCCTCAGCTGTAAACCTCACCTCGGCAGCGCTGCTTCACTGAGGAAAATACACCTGTATTTTGAAGTGTCAGGGAAAGCGGCCAGTTCAGTATTCAGGTCCTTCCAGGAGCTTCGGCAGATCCA